TAAAATACTGGGTGTCATCTGTACTAATTTTATAGTATTACTGACCCATATACTCCTTGGACGCGGTATAAGATTGTGAAACAAAAAAAAAAAAAAAAAAAAAAAAAAAAGAAATTCACGGATAAATCTAAGACGTCCCCACACACCCCCCCGCCCGTGGTCGGATCTAACTAACTCGTTGTTGCATAGATATGAAATGCTAAAAATTTAAAAAAAATAAAATGTGTACTAAGGTGATATTATCACGGAAACAGATATGGTCAACGAGAGAAACGTTTATTTTATATGAATGATAAATGTAATGTAACGTAAATACAAGAGTAGCGAAAATATATGGGTCTGGAATGTTTATTCGTTGATTTTTGTGTTTAGTTTTATAATCGTGTATGTCTTACGTAAGTCATTGGCAGTAGTTCACAAGTTAATCTCGATTTGTACAGTTCACGATGGTTGCCGAAATCTATTCGGTCAGGACAACAACTCCCTACTATTCACCGACAACCACATCCATTCCAGATTAGCGAAGCTTCACCTTCAGATTTCTCTACTCAAAGTCAGGACTTTCTTCTACACATTGGCAAATACCGACAGGCCTAGTTACCCCTCGATAAGGTGGTAAAACCTCGGTCCCTCCCCTCAAACAGTTATGCGGTGTCACAAGAGCACGCCTACCCTCTTCGACACCCAGGGAGCGAGCGTCACACGCCACACGTCCAGCTCGAACACAACCGGCTCACGTCATCGCCTCACCGTGCACGACCCCACATGGCCAAATTGGTTACAGGATCCTACATCTTCCCGGTCTAGAGGTAGCGTCGTACACGTGCGTTCATGGATCACACGAATTCACCTAGATCGTAATGCGACCTTCCTTAGCCACTTGCCCTCGACGCATCCTCACACACTCACCCTGCTTAAATCTTCCACTATCTGGTCTGCTCGTCAGACATTCGTAAGACCTCAGGCTCGGACGTCTCCAGCCTCCTCGTGTACGTATCTCGAGGTCGCGTCCTCCCTCAAACGTCATAGATCCGCATCTACTTGCCCGCCGGACCTGCGGTCTTGGACGCGACTGCAGGACCCAGTCGACACCCTGCATGAGGACTACAAATTGTTTTATTGTTTATTAACTAATTAATAAAGCTTATGTTTAATTCAATGCATCGATAATTTCCGTATTTTTCTGTCTTTACATATTAAGAAAGAAATTTCTTACAAAGAAGACGGGGCATTTCACAGGTTTGGCCCGGGAACAGACATTGGGCGCGTAAACGATTTTGTATCAGTAAGCAGGTAACGGACCAAAAGAATCTAATAAAACAGTGTCAAACCGAAAGGCTAGTCTCTGCCAGGAGGAAGGTAAAACATCTATAAATGTTGAAAACTCTAGGTGTCATTGTGTAGCGTTTTAGGCCGAATTGAAACTCGTACCAAAATTTGTCAAATTAGGGAACACCTTAACAGGTGAAAGCAGGCAGGAACATTTAAAGAAAGTAAGTCAGACCCTTAGGATTATACTTAATTAGACGAACTCACAGGTTATTAGGTAGTAAATTAAAAACATTCAGTGAAGGTTATCACGAAGGAATTAATGAGAAAGTAGAGAAGAAAAAATTGTTTTAGTGGAACTTGTCCATCAGTAAGACCCACAACCCCCCGAAGAAGCATTATTTTGCCAAACCCTTGAAGCTTAACTTAGATACAAAAAAAGTATTATTTGAAGTTGTTGAAATTGTCAACAGTTGAAAGTAATATTTTTGTAAAACGTTTGTCTACGCGTTCTACAGGTAAAAAAAAAACAAAACAAAAACAAAAAACAAGAAAAACACATATAAACAATAGAAAAAGACAATATAAAAAATAAAAGACAAAATGCGACCGACAAAGTCGACCAGGATAGATGCCAGCACGTTGTAGTGGAGGTTGGAAAGTTAGTTTGTGTAAAATCACGTTCGAATGTAAAACTATCCCAGTCTACGATTAAATATTACGGTTTACAAGTTGCTCGCCGAGGCACAGGGGGTCGACACCAAACCCAGGGGTAAAGGCACAACACAAAGACTCGAATACGGTAACGCCAAAGCATTAAAAGTTACAGCAATACGCGTGCAAACCCAACAAAAAATTTACGACGTGCAACAACAGATCAAACAACTACTACAAAGAATTATCGCCACGAAAACCGTGTAGTAAACGTTAGATAAAAAGTTTGAGTCGAACTAAGCAGGAGTACTTTTCCAAACCTTGGCAACACCTCGTATATAGAGAAATATAATAAATTATCAAATTGTAAATTAAAGCGGCCAAATTATAGTAAATAAATATACATAGAATCTAATCGAAGTATTCATGTGTCATCAAGATTACGAAATAAAACTTCGTACAAAACCGTGACCCACTAATCTATGGACCACATTAACATTATAACCTCTGTCCACCCCACCCCTCCGTCTCGTGATTCATGTTTTCCAAAAATGGTCCCACCCAAGTTCACTCGGTCGTTTTTCTTCGGTATTCTTTCCGATATTCCTTTGTCCCCTATATCCTTTGGCAAGCAACATGAAAACAATCAACGCCGTTATTTGACGTGTTTACCTCTTAGAACGACTGGACCTGTAACGGACGCTTTCTAGGCGATTGATCACGAGTCCGCCGCATAATAAAATTCAAATTATGACTAAAATAAGATGATACTAAAGACCGGCGTGTGGGCAACATTGCTGCCAGCCCGAGGCATGTATACATAACGGTGAATTAGTGTTCGTGTTTTTTTGATTTTGCTCCGGGGAACGTGTCTGTGGTTGATAATTTATAAGCCTGTTTGTGCTTGCCCTATAGCTACGAGTATATAAGCTATGGAACAGGTTAGAACGTTTGGAGGACGGTACCTCTTTATGTTAACAGAAGAGTCTGTTACTTTTCTAATAAGAATTATAATTTAGTCCTTCGTTACGGTAACACAACAGTTCGTTACAAATTGGAAGTCGTGGGGTCAGACTAGGAATTAACCTGGCGGTAAGTCAGAGGCGGTCAGATTAAGACGATATTTAGGTTGAACCCTGTAAGTTGACTGCATGATAACAGACACGGTAATTGTTTAAGTTATATTAGTTTAAGTTATTTATTTATCTAAATTAAATTGATTGTCTCTGAATAGTTGCGCGGAGTGTGTCTGCGGAGAGTGGCGTAAGGGCACGCTTGCGTGTGTGTGTTTTCTCTTCTTCCTTGTTGTTTATTATAATCATGTTCAATTTCGTGTTAATATGTTTTGTTGTCGTGTACGTTTTGGTGCGTCGCGTCCACTCAAAACACTCAACAACTTTCCACCACTCCAGCCACCTTCAGAGACCTACCCAACCCTCACTCAAGGTCTCCCTCCCCCCTCGCTGCCTCTTCGCGAGAAACGGGGGGTCCGGCCACTAACACGCCCACCCCTACCTATCCTCCAACCGAAGACTACTCGCTCTCCGTCGCCCTCCCCACACACACC